ATAGATTACGAGGCTCTGTAGATCCTCATCCCCAGAGCACGGTTTATACTTTAAACCGTCAAACTCAGGCTACGACTGAACGAATCTGCCGCCATTACTCCAGTGGCCGGAGTTACCTAATCTCAACATACTTCAGAGACATCATCTTCGGATGAAGCGGAACAATTGAACTCAAAGCGGCAACTAACTTATCGAGGAGCATAAGCAAATAAAACCATAAGTACGAAACCTCAACAAGTAGTAACTGCCGCTCATGTGATAATCGGCAGTTGTAAAGTAAATTTAGAATTCGGCCGGATACTACTTCGCAGGCTAAGAAATCAAGTAATTGCTTTTTAATGCCCAAGTCGCAGACTGTGAAAATAAGTTTCAGCCACTGGTTTTATTTTTAATGCGGTACTAGAATTCATGAAGGTCCAAGCCTCTTACCGACTTTACTCTCGAGCCTTTGCAAGGGTTGGCTGTTATGCGGGGGGTACAAGCTTCAGCCACAGGTCATAGCTGTAAATAACACATCAAGCAGCTCAGTTCTGCGTTCTATCTCATTTCTCTAAATCACATTGTATATAAGTATCAGTTTATTCCTCGTCTTCAAAATACTTCATCACTCAATCACATTCTCTTCAGTCTTCTACAACATCTTCAATCAACTCACTCAAACTTTCTAAACAACCGCCAACCAAATCTTCAATATGCGTTTCACCGGCATCACCGCAATCTTCCTCGCCGCTCTCGTGACCGACCACGTTCACGCCAACGAGCGCTGCACCAACCAGCTCACCAACGACTGGTCCCGTCGCTACGAGGCTTGGTCCAACTCCTGGGTCCCCAATGCCGATGAAGTCTGCGGCAATCTCTGGTCTAACCTAGGCCAATACCCTGAGTGTGCTGGCGTCAGCGACCAGTACTGTGGCTACGATAACAGCGGTTCCTCGCTCGTTTGGGCGTTTACCACTGGAAGCGGTTGTGAGGCGCGATCCGTCATGGATTCTTGGTACTGGGCTACTAAGAACCAGTGGGGCAACATTGACTGTAGACAAGGATAGGCGGTAAGTCTTTCCACTATCATGAAGGTTTCTCGACTCTGACTTGACGTTTTAGGACATAGGATGTCACGGTGACTGGGAAAGAGGGTTCTGGTTGGATTCATAGGCACCTGAAAATTGTTTACGTGCGGCTGAAGGATACTATTAGCTGCATAGGGTTACTATAATTCACACACTTTATCGAGTTTTTCGTTCGAGCTTGAAACCGTCGTGATTTTAAGCATATAGGCTGGTCTGAACGACAAGTGGGTTTTCCTCTATGATGGATAGACACGGTCTCATCTTCGAACAGGCCGTCTCGGCAATAGCACGCCATCATGTTCCAAACACTTTAAATGATTCCGATACTGACGAAGGAGCGATTTAGTTTTGCTTTTCGCCGTATAAGCAAGCTCTTCTTCAGTCTGACCAAAGTCCGCGGATTCCAAGTCGACAATCATGATTTTATCTTTTCCCTCATCGGCCACAAGATGGAAGTTGTCGAGTTTCGTATCGTCATGGCAAACGCCATATTCATTGAGAGAGGTCAAGGCTTGATGCAACAGGGGCTCGATATCTTGCTCATCCAGCACGGCGCCATCAGGCGTTGAGAGACTAGACCCCCCGATGTCTGAGAATATCAAGGCCCGAGTGTTTGCGTACTGAATCGTGCCGTAGAACTTGGGAATTGTGAGGCCTTGAATAGGTCGTAGTCTGTTGTACGCGACGACTTCGTGGTCAAATTCCTCTTCCCAGTTCTTCTTTTGACGTTTCAAGACGATATGTTCTGGTAAGAACCACTCGGGGAATTTTGTTTGCAGCCATGGACCAGCGGCTTTCGATATGATAGTGAATAAAGACTCGATTATTCCTCCGATGAACGTCTTATCTATTCTCAGTCGTAGGACGTTGAGATGAGCATGATCTGACGGAGTTCCAATGGCTTGAATGTCTCGAGTTCCAAATCGGAAACGCTGGTGTCAAGATGGTTAGCAGTTTAAGGAGGCGTTGGACAGACGATAGAGCTTACAATGCCTGTTTGAAGTGCAGCTTCTCCGTCCGTGTGATCGCCCGATTTTATTGTTGGGCCGACATCGGAAAGTTCCATTTTTGAGTTGGATCTAGATGAGAGGGTGAAAGGAAGACGTTTTGAAGACTTCTGCGCGTCGGTGCTGATGATGTCGCGACGTGTCAAGCAACCAACAGCGACAAGGCTAGTTGTTCGTTTGAGGCTTAGTCAGCGGGCTGACCTAACACCAAGAACCTCCCAACAATTTAACATGCGATATTTATAGGACGCACACTGTGAAACGATGGTTCTAAAATAGAAGCTGATTGATTCTGCCTTACCTTATATTAATGTATGAACGACCTGATTTTCATGAGAAGTGTCATGCCCAGTTCTGCTTATCACTCACCTTTTTAGTAATGGTACCAGCCAACACCAACTGCTACCAGGATTGTTAGTCACATGTCGTGAACCATTGGTTCACCGCGGTGTGTTGGTCGACTTGTTGTTTCGCAGTGTTCCGCTATCATGGGGCTGAGTATTTCCAAGCGGCAGAAGAGACAACATTATTGGTACTGTTCTAGGACTTCGAAATTCAAGTGTAAATAGTTAGCCGCCGAGAGGCCAAGGCCACTCAATCCATCAGGCAGAGTCGGTGCCTAAATTTAGACCTTCCTGGAGTATATATACCTCTTAGTCTCAGTTGAACGTGACAATCAATTGATTCATTTAAGCAATACTTTTCCAAACAATTTCTCTTTCCTCAATAATACCATGTCCACCAATACAGCTCAGCAGCTCATCTTGCAGCATTCAACAAACCCAGTCAACAACCCAGGTTATGAAACCAAGACTGACAAAGCCTGGACGCATGCCTACAAACCTATCAAGAAAGTCACTTCACACACTATGACTGGCTCAGATGGCATGACTCATGCCAATTTTGAAGAAGCCTTCCTCCCGCTGCAGGCAGACGACGAATTGCGGTTCCGACAAAGGGCTGTGCCGCCGAATAATCGGCATTGGAGGCTCGAGACCGAGGCAGACTGTGAGAACTGGTTTCACACAGAGGTGGTCAATGTTGTGCTATCTGCATGGCATGCATATCCTGCAATGACTCAGACGTCTCATACAAAGCCAATTTCAGAGGAGAACATAGCTGAGAATGTTGATTGTGTTTTTTCTGTCAGAGTGGGAAATACGAGGCGCACTGTAGCTATCGGAGAAATGAAACGCAACCTTCTAGAAGAGGACTGGCAAGATGGTACGATCGTGTCTGCTTCTCAGAAGAGACTATCGCAAGAGCTCAGAGGGTAAGTTATGCATCCTATGTGTTTTTCTTTTCTTTATCCTTTTCCCTCTTGCACGGATTCTTCATAAATTATTCGAAGCGGGCCGCCGAGCTAATCAACACTTGCAGATATGCCTACAAATATCAGTGCCCTCAGGTCTTCTGCTTTGACGGTAGCTTACTTATCCTGCTGCAGTTCAGAGCGTACAGGCGCGAGAGTCTCAAGGACGAAGCATGCCCAGTCGACTGTTGGACGATTCCCATTGAGGGAAGTTCCTGTAGCCTCCGGTACGGGCTCTATCGGCTCTTGGCACAGGGTTGGAGACGATGCCAAGGAGAGTTCGCGGCGCCATTCACAGTGGGAGGGTTTGTGCCGTGCTCCAGAGAGTTTTATACAGGGCTGCCTATCTGGGAGATTGATGGTAGGAGGCAGAGGTCGCATCCTGCCGGTTATCAAAGGGCTGTGCACCATGAAAATGGAGCCTTGGTATGGACTCATGGTGCGAATCCCGCAGAATGGGAGACTGGTGCGTTTTGGTAATGGCTAGCTGGCAGATCAAGAGTTGTCATACCCAATGCTAGTTCTGGACGTTCATTATACAGCATTTAGACTAGGATGAGCAAAGCCTAGGATAAAGGCCCTAAGGGACGAAAGAACTTAGGGAAGTTTAGAGTACCATAGTCGGCTCTTGAGGTAGTTTTTGTTTTTCCTTATTTTTTTACCAAATTAGTTTACTGTTGAAGCATTCTTTTTTCATGCCTGGGGGATTCGGTCACAAGTCTCAGGATTCGCATTTGTTGAGTTACTTCCACTTTGCCATGTTTGAGATGAAATAGTCAATCATTATTGGAAGATTTTCTATATCAGCTCCATGCACAATCTGGAGGGCTGGCCATAGAGGACGAGGGCTATGAAGGCTTGAGAAGGATTGGCATTATTCGAGGAGTTTCCGGGTTTTTGGGAACGACCGTGAAGTTTGGATTCATCGAGGATTATATTTTCTGAATCATCGAAGGGTTTCTACTGTGTATTGATATAGATACCGGCCAAATCTGTAATACGTTGTACAGACTGCCTAATCTAGTTGTAGCGATTTCAAGGAGAACCTCTCTAATCAGAAATAAAGTCATGAAGCTAACACACGGCCAGATCCCTTTCGTGCAACAAAGACAGTTCCTAGTACCTTAATACCGACGCCAGAGCTTGAGGGTCCAGTAAACGGGACGACCCGCTCTCACACAATCTTCTTCATTATCTCAGCGCCATTCTCCATTTCCTCCACGCCCCAAGAATTGAATACCTTCGAGCCGAATCCACGAGATAGAAGATCAGCGACTCCGTCAGCCGTCTTGCCGCGCAGAAGCACCTCAATTGGAGTGCTGGTCACTTCGAGCCAGGGGCTTGATAGCAAAGCCTTGGTATGACCAGGGTCGAGCCAGATATCGGAGACAGGCGGCTTGAACGGCGTTTCATCCGAACGGATCTGGCTGGATCTCCTGGATGATCTTGATATGTCCCATCACAGTTCAGAGAGCCTGTGACGATGGCTGCTCCATGGGACGAAAAGTATGCGCTATCTCGCTGGTGCCCTTACCCGCGTCGGTGAAGTACATAAGACCAAGGTTCGTGATGCAGTGTGTGAAGGTGTCGTCAGAAAAGGAGAGTTCCTTGCCTTCATGACGGCCGTTTGGACGTTGGGTGGGCGGAGAACCACTCCCTAGCGATGCTGACCATGTTCTCGGCGACGTCGACGGTGTGGATCTCAGGATTGATCCCGGATTTAAGGATGATGGCAGTGACGATGCCGGTGCCGCAAGCGTTGTCGAGGATCTTGGAGTCAGATGTCAGCGGTTTTAGGGCCGCGATGGAGGAGATGGTATGATTTGCGAGTTCACGGGTAATTCCGCCAGTAGTAGCCTCGTGCTTTTCTGCAGTCTTGTTCAATTGCTCGGTGGGTGTGAGCTCGGGAGCGAGCGGCATGGCGGCACAGCAGATAGCTAAAACACGACTTTAAGATAGTAACGTTGGCATGTGCATATTGCGACGGGTTCGTAAGTTTATATTTCGTATCAGACTACTAAATAGTCGTTGTCAGTTTGTGGATATCGCAGTAGTAAACCAATCATATTTGGAAGTCGGAGGAATAACGTTCCCATTAGCTAATCATTCCGAATTAGGCGATAACACTTAACCTGGAGAGGTCAAGATGATAGTTTATAATATTACGCCGTTCTCAAGAGTTTATCTACAATAGGCATAGTCTTTACTGAGTTCCCTGCTCTGGGCTAAAGGGTAGAAACCCTCCGCGGAAGCTTTCATAAAGGATCCCCCGGGTAGTTTATTAATTGGCTTTCCCCAGAACGTTTTCTTTACATTTCTTCTCTTGCCACTTCTCCGACAATTAATTGAGAAACTGGGTGCAGCTATTCATCACCAATCATAGCTTCAAGGCTTGCCTGAACGCCGAAGCCAAGGGCCAACAAATCCAACTCTGACACCTGATGCTCTCTCATGAAGATTACATGCGATGGACGATTCTCACTGAGGTAAGTTTAGATCACTATAGTCAGCTTTTAGGCTAGATATTTTTCAGCAAACCTATTTACGGTCAAAGAGCTTTATCCCATCCCTTCCAGTGGTGAAATAGGGTAGGGGGATCGGTCTCAACTCTCAACACAATCTATCCCACTCGGGTATCCCACATTATCCGAGTGGGATAAAAACAACCCTCATCAAAGGATCAAATTTGTCAGTGCTGATTATTCTTTTCCTTTACACGATTGCGATACTATATATTGGTCTACCCTGCTTATTCCAGAATTATATTTAATTGAAGTTTAGATCATCGACAGCCAGACACAGTCATCATGAGAACAACCCGCACAGGAACCGCCTCTCTCCTAGATACAACTCTGACACGTCTCATAGACGATGTTATAGAAAATGGATCAAGTTTTCTTGCAGACGACGAGAACTTGCAGCATTACAAACACCACTTAAGCCATCTTGAGACAGCATCAAAGATTGCACTGCTTCGGGAATGTCTGTGTGTGCGACCGCCTTTGCCACTTCTGCCGGAGGATCTACTTCAAGATATCGACGCCATCCTCTCTCGGCTTCATCAGCACAAGATACTTACTCCAATTTCCTCACTCTTACCTTCGCGGACGATTCGACATGATGAACATCGAGCGACCAAGGTTCATCTCTGGAGAGGCGACATGACGACTTTGGCTGATGTAACAGCTATCACCAATGCCGCCAACAGCCAGGGCCTAGGGTGTTTTCAACCAACTCATCGATGTATCGACAACATCATCCATGCTGAGGCAGGACCACGGCTGCGGGAAGAATGTTTCCAGCGAATGCAGGCCAGAGGAAAAGAGCTTGAGCCTGGTGAAGTACTTGTCACTGAAGGTCATGCTCTCTTTGCTTCTTCGGTGATGCACACTGTTGGGCCACAGCTAAAGAGAGGTGCTTCACCTACTGAGATTAAGAGGCGGCAACTTGCGAAGTGCTATGAGTCAATTCTTGAAGCGCTGGAGCTTTTGCCGTGCGAGGACGATGGTAGCAAGTCAGTCGCTCTTTGTTGCATTTCGACGGGCTTGTTTGCATTTCCAGCGGATGAAGCAGCTGAGATAGCAGTGTCAACTGTCACGTCATGGCTCCAGAAGCATCCATCAACAACGGTTACAGACGTCATCTTCAACACATTCACCGAATCAGACACCGAGATCTACTCGAAACTTCTTGGGCCTTCGCCGACAAAACCACTCTCACTTGCCAAGAGCCCGCCACAAAGTTCTCTCAGCTTAGCGCGCGACTGGCTCGCCTCAGCAGATGCTGTCCTCGTCACAGCCGGCGCAGGTCTATCAGCCGCAGAAGGCCTGGATTACCACTCCCGAGACCTCTTCAAAAAGAACTTCCCAGGTTGTCTCAAGCTCGGTCTGACATCGCTGTATAGTGTATTTGGTTTCAACGACTGGCCTTCGGAGGAGCATCGCTGGGGCTATTTCTTCACTCATTTAAACATGGTGGCCAACTGGTCCAATACGCCTACATACCAGGCTTTGATACCATGGCTGGAGAACTTTGGGCAAGACGCATTTGTGCGCACGTCAAATGCAGACGGGCTGTTTCTCGCAAACGGCTGGCCAAAGGAGCAACTTTCTACACCGCAAGGCTCGTATGGGTATTTGCAGTGTCTGAATAACTGCAGAGTCGACGCTGTCGTACCATCGGCCCCCCTTGTAGCTGATGCAATGCCTCACATTGACAAGGCGACACAAAAACTGATGGATCCAAGCAAAATTCCGTTATGCAGGTTCTGCGGCTCGAAAATGAGTATTTGCGTCCGAGCGGGCTCCTGGTTCAATCAGGCGCCTTTCCGAGAAGGCGAAGTTCAGTGGAAAACATGGAAATCTCGGGTTCTAAGAGAAAAGAAGAATCTAGTGATTTTAGAACTTGGTGTCGGGATGAATACGCCTGGAGTTTTGAGATGGCCGAATGAAGATTTGGTGATGCGAAGTGACGGGCGAGTCAAACTCATTCGCGTTGGCATGGGTCCAGAGGCGATGGTGCCGTGGGAGCAGGAAGACGAGGGTCTGAGCACTTGTATTCAAGGCGACATCGGGCGCGCGATTCCTCTGTTACTGGAATGAAGCGGCGATCGCCAATTTATAGAAGAATAAATATAAGCCATAAAGATCATGACTGCGCCTCAACGACAGCCCTATATGTCATGTCGCCTTTCAGCCCAGTCACGCGTCATCACCTGCAGCGCCAAAAGAGGCGCATGATGCCAAGCGTGGGTACCGCTGTATTTCACCGGCATATCCGCGTGGCTGTGAAATTTACCGCCCCAAATTTTCTACTAAAACCATCGCGCTCCTCAGCCCAGTAACCTCAACTTTAATATTTCCGATTTTTCGCGCGATAATTCGACGTGTTGCTACGGTATGGTAGTGTTATAGCAGAAAATGGGACTGGATGCCCTGAACAAGCTCGCAGCGGCCGGTGAGGCGGTCTATCAGAACATCTCTAAAAAATGGTGATTTCCGAAAGGCTCTACTGGTGGATCAAGTTACTGATTGTGAATAGGGATGAGAGAAAGAGACGACAAGCGGAAGAGGCATGGCTTGCGAAACACGCTGAAGAAATCCGTCAACGAAATGAATTCCTGTCTCTTGTCACGAGCAAAGTCACAGGCGACTCAGCCCTCGAAATGGCACCTCTAACATGCAACCCGCACGAAACGCAAAGAGCAGTCTTTCTCGTCACAACGCCCATTGCCTTTGGCGTGCTGGAAGTCTCAGAGGTAAGCTACAAATTGTTAGCGAGACATGTCGGCATGAGTCTGAACAGCGTGAGTCATTGGGCGGTGTGCGTTATCGATAGAGGGCTCGGAAAGTGCTATTGCTACGATTTGATGAGCGATCGGTTGGAGTTGACGATGCTGGGGAAGAATTACTTCAGGGTGGCGGTCATCACGGAGGAGTTTGTTGAGACGTGGAGTTCGTGTTATTATATCGGAGAGACGACCAAGACGCATGAGGAGATTCAGGCGATAGGTAAGTTACACGAAATCGCGGTGTGACAAGCTTTCTAACGATTGGCCAGGACAACATCACATCGGACTAAATCCTCGGTATAAGTTACTATCGAATAATTGTCAGCATCTTGTTGATAGTCTTGTCAAGGAGCTTTGCAACGGCAAAGTAATCAGCCAGGCAAAACTGGACGAGGAGTTATCGCTTGCGTCACCGAAGATTGCACGCGACTTGCTTGTTGGGAGGATAAGGTCGAAAATGGATGTCGGTGGCGAGAGCGAAGATAGTCCTTCGATCAAGGAGCATTTGGAGGCGATCAAAAGTCACTGGAGCGATAGGAAATAATACATGATGATACCCAGGGTAGGTAGATAATTAAACATTAGAACTCTTTACCATCTTCGACATTAATTATTAGTCTAAACAACAGGAGAGAGAAAAGAAATTGAGTTTTATTATCAATTAAGACAAGGGATAAAGATTTGTGTTTTATGGCACTCTGTGCTGCAAAGTCAATTACGCATGGGGAGATGGTGATTGCCAGACTGGTAAGTGAAAACAATGGGCAAGATATCTAATTGAAGGATTGTGATACGTTTATATACTCCAATCTGTGACTCTGCTGTCACTAATAGCTATTCCTCCGATTCGGAGATCTCCCCGAATAGCTCAGCTGGAAGAGCGTTCGGCTGTAATTGTTAACCTGACACCGAAAGGTCACTTGTTCGATCCAGGTTTCGGGGAGCGCAAATTCTTTTTTACACATTTCACTTTCTGCCCCAGCATTACGTTTTTCTCCGTGCTTTTTTGTAATTCTCATCTTATGTCATTTTTGCAACCTATTTCAATTATGCTTCTAGTGCCACTTGGCAGATATCTCGGTTTAGGCAAATGAGAGCTTACTTTGTGATAGTCTCTGAGGACTATGTCCAGTCAAAATGATTGATTCTGAGTGGTTTTAAGTGCTGAGATGAGAGTGTGCTGACGCACGTCATCTTTTGATATGGTTAGGATGCCCGAAGGTGAAGTTGGTGGTCAGTCTCGTGAGATATTAGGTCATTTATCCCTCTCCTCTCGACGATGACAGTTCTTAAACCTGCCATCATTCTGTAGACACGACTGCCAAAATGCTAGCATCTCTCCCTCTAGAAATCATCGAAAACATTTGCGACAAGGTATATAGTTCACTGATACATATCAATACGAGCTGACAGTGATAGCTGAACGGTATTGACCTCCAACGGCTCTCGCTGACGGCAAAATGGCTACACAAAGTAACATTTCGCCAACTTTGGCGTTCCCTGACTATTAAGCCCTGTCCTGAGAGCGAGCGACATTGCATAAACCCTTATGGCCCTCCGCAGCACTGTCTTCAGTATACGAGAGAGCTCCGCTTCGATCCTGGTGTTGACGCAGACCTGAAGCGATGTATGCATGCTAGTGACTGGCTTGGTTACATGGGCAACTGGACCGAGAAAGTCCCTCTTCATCAGTATACCTGGGAGGCTAGGGGCGATAGTTTTGGGTTAGGAGGTGGAAAGCTTGTGAGGGTCAAATTTGAGTGTCTTGCGCAGAGGGCCGTGATTTTGCTGAATCGTTTCAATGCCGGGCAACTCGAATCATTTAGGTAAGACAGCTCCTTGTATGCAAGACAATTCTGATATCGTTGCTAGCTGGAACTATACTTCTTGCATCCCCTCTGAGATTCTCGAGATTCTGAGTCTCAAGCATCCATCCATACAGAGCCTTAGTCTCGTCACAGATCCCTTCTGTAGCAGATTCAACCGCTGGAGTCGAACTGCTGACTTAGACCTCTCGGCCTTTCGTAACCTTCGACGGCTCAGCTGGAAAGCACCTATGGGTTGCCATTTCGACAACATTGCTAGCTTAGTCAAGGCCAACGCGAGACATCTTGAGGACCTGGAATTGGAGCTGCACGGCTGGTCTCCAGATCATGAGTCCAAGGTCATGCAACACGATGATAACCCTGAAGTATGGGATAACATACAAGCGAGCGCTATGCTTGCTCGGAAGACGTTTGGTCTCGAGGTGACGACCTCGAGAGCAGCTGAGCAGATATGCTTTCCGAAGTTGCGAAGGTTAAAACTCACCAGGGCCCCTTTAAGAGATGAGAACGGAGGTGCAAAAATAGCGTCCTCCATTGATTCCAGTGCTCTGAGGTTTCTGTCTTGCGTACTGGATAACCTTCCTATCTAACATCATGGAATCGCAAACGCCACTTCAGCTCAAGACTCTGGGATTATTGGACCTTTTTCTGAATACACTGAATGACACCGCGGAAGGGAAAGTTGACACTATTAGAGAATTCATTGATTACTTCGAAGGACTGGAAAAGCTTCTCATTAGTGTATGCGGTCTGACGCCATCTCTTCAGTTCTGAGAATATGTCACGGGCCATGTGGCATCTCTGAAAAGATTTGTGCATCAGAGGACCACGGACCAGGATGAAGAACTCCTAAATTCGCGCCTGAGTAGAACTTCGTCGGCCTTGCGGCTGTCGTCTGAGTAGCGTAACCGTGCCCGACAGGATGCTTCTCAGAAGCCGCTTTGAGACTCAACCTCGAGTTCACTGGGTTGACGTGTGCACCGAATGATAAGAAATCACAGTTTGATTGACGCGAGGGTACTAGATAATATCTACAGAAAGATATTCTACTACCCTTTGTGTCGAAAGGATCACTCAAAGCGCCTCACATTCGGCACACAAGAATGAACTCGGGTCACGGTACATCGTGTGTTTCAATCACGCTTTGCAACTTAGGATCAATGACGGATAAAATGAAGGCGCGGACACGACAAAAGCAGATAGATGCTTGAACAAATTTCGACATCTCAGATTCAATTGATTGTTAATTTGGGTATGGCGTAGTGATTAGAAGCTGAGAGATGGACAAAAGTGAAAGTGACCCCACCAAGGGGCGAACTGCGTTATCTTGAGGGTGATTGTGTCACATATATTTACTCCGAAACATTGGTCAAGCTAGACGCTTTGAACTTACCAGACAAATTAGCAAAAAACGCCACCCCGAGATTCATTACTAAAATTAAATCACCAAAGTCGAGGTGAATATCCTGGCGGTAAGCCCGTTGATTTGATTCGTCTGTCCCGCCAACCCCGAAACTATTGTGATGAGCCATGTTTTTTTTTCCTTGGCCCTGATTGAATCTGAAATTTTGCCACAGGGCTTTCAGCTGGCTACCAAAGGCTGATGCAGTTGCTGGCGCTGAAAATGGCTGGTAGGTTACGGATGCAGTAAGTAGAGCTTTTAAGGCGCTAACTTGATATCGTACTCAAAACTACCAAATCATCATTTGGTAGCCCAACCAGAACTACGAGGACGAATCGCCAGTTAGCATCAAATGAAGGCAAAGTTTCACAAAATACCATTTCAGTGTGAAAACATCCATTAATGAGAACGGCATTCACCCTCAGCTGAGACCGTTCATCCACTTGAGGTTATGCCAAGACAGAGTTGGGCGCTTAAGGCCACGGTCAGGCGTCTTGCTGGACCAGGGCATGCCATATCTAATGATATTTATTCTAGGTGTCGTCGCGTCGTTAAACACTGATGTATGGCAAACGACTAGAGTATGGTTTAGTATAACAATCAAATATGCCTCTTGAGCTTCGCCTTGAGTCAGACAGAGCTATTGTTAGCTCAGACGACAACGATTGGATCCAACATATTCACAACGAGTTTACTGACTCGGATTTGGACTCAATTGATGTCGACTCAATTGAAGAGATATTTGAAAAACTCGGAAAATTCAATATCCTCGGCCTACTAAATCTGGCTATACGCGTACGCGATATCTCTACTTCGCTCAAGGGACGCATCTCGTTTGCTCTCACAAATCTCGGCTTTCGCAAACCACGCGTCTCTATGGATCAAGAAGGCAGATGCATCAGGTGTGGTGATATGCATGGGATTATGTCATATTTACATGAGATGGAAATATCATCTAAAGCAGGATGTCCATCATGTCACATCTTGGTCACAGGTATACGACTTTATTTGAAGAACAATAAATCATTCAGGAGGGGAAGATTGATGGTTATGAAGGACTGGAATACAGGCTGCGCAGGGAGGCAGTTTATACAAACTAATTTTAGGTCGGCGGCGATGCCAGGGGCGCTGGGAGTGAGGGTCTTTTTAGATGGCGGAGGAGATTTGAAGTATCTGTTTACCGACGCAAGGGAGGTGCCTATGAAGTTTGTGGGCGAGTTGAACTTCTTTGGCCTTCATGGTGGGTCAATTTGGTTGAGATTCAAGACGAAGCATAAGAGTTAATGATGTGCATAGGGTCCCCTACATCGTGGGATTCAGTTGGCCTGGCGGCTGAGATCTCTGCCGACACAGCCTCAGACGCTGCATTTGAATGGTTTAGAAACCAGGTCGACAATTGTTTCCAATATCATCGGCTGTGCAATGAATTCAATATCGCGAAGCTCCCTCCCCGAGTCCTGGACCTTGGCCCGCCTGGTGCCGCAGGGCTTGACACTGATATTAAGCTCGTGCCCTCCCTGGGCCAGCAAGATCGCTACGTATGTCTAAGTTATTGCTGGGGCGGTACTATTGATATTCGATTGCTTCGGAATCGATACAACAGATATCTCCGTAGGATACCGTGGGATATTTTCCCCCAAGGATATAAAGACGCCATTCAGCTCACACGCAAATTGAGTGTACGCTACATCTGGATCGACTCACTATGTATTGTCCAGGACGATGAGGATGACTGGCGACAACAAGCCTCGCTCATGGCATAGATATTTCGGAATGCTTACGTTACCATCGCAGCTACAAAGTCGCGGAATCCCAATGATGGCTACTTTTCTGTCAGCCCATCTAGGTTCATCGCCACTAGAATTGAATATGAAGGTCAAAACGGAGAGGCCCGACACGCATATGTTCGACAAACGATCCCACACTTTTTCTCATCAACGGTTTCACCGGATAGTGACTTTGCGAAAGGCAATTTCCCACTCTTATCTCGAGGATGGGTTTTTCAGGAAAGGCTGTTATCTCCCAGAGTACTGCATTTAGGAGAAGTGGAGATGGCTTGGGAGTGCAACGAGAGCTGCGCTTGCGAATGCATTGGAGAAACAAAGACTTATGAGTCAGAGCCGAGGTGGACGCACACGAAAGGAGGGTACACAAGGAGAATTGCGGAAGCCAAGAGCGAAAAGGATGTCCAGCCAGAATGGAGAAGTCTCGTGGAGCACTACACTAAGACTACCTTGACATATCAGAAGGATGTCCTTGCAGCGATATCAGGTGTAGTAAGAGACATGAAACGTCACAGAAGCGATAGATACCTTGCTGGTGTGTGGGAAGACAGTGTGTTGGAAGATCTAGCATGGATGCCGTGTGATAGGACGAAGGCCAGGTCCAACGACTGGAACGCTCCATCGTGGTCGTGGGCATCCGTTGCGGTGCCGGTGACATTTCCAAGTCGGCGGACATTCCTGAACGGCAAATACATCCAGAGTATGGAATTCTTGGAGCATAGGACACGGTTCGTCGAAGCTGGGATCACCCCTGTGGGACAGGATGAAACTGCGCAACTGAGCGCTGCGCATATGGTACTTGTTGGGCCCATGATTTCGGCCAAGCTCGATGAGGACCCAGAAATTTTGAGCCAAAGGCAGCTTTATCTGGCAACCAATAGGGACAAAAGCCTGGTCTTCGCACCAGACTACGACCTAGGAAGACAAGGTCCAAGTTACGTGCCCATGGGAACTACGATATATATCCTTCACTTGTGCCAGGAGCCAAGGTTCAGTGACGGAAAACGAAAGGACACAACCAGAAAAACCTTCTCGCTGGTCCTCAGAAGATTACATGGAGTTAACGGTAGCGACAGCCAAATGGTTCATTCGAGCGAAGACCCTACAGACGGCACTTATGAAAGAATAGGCATCATGTTTCAAGGCTCGGATCAAGAGTATTCTGAGGGATATGTTGCGGCACATGGAGTGAATTGCGTGGTGAAACTCATGTGAAACTTTCTTTTTGCTTGTTTATTCTATTGACGTCGTACATACCAACTTAGTTCAGTTCCATACTTGTCCAAATTTGTTGCTTGTTCCATGACAACATGTTTGTTGGTGATAGCGGTGCGTGACATTCGAGTGTGGACGAGGGCTTTGGTTGATCGGTAAGGAATATTTTGTTTGTCTTGACAGATCGCCAACACCCTCTAGCAGCATTCTCAAGCGGCCATGCCGCCAATGTTCCAAGCCTGCTCTTCACATCTCGCCACCGTGGCCCTCCGCTCTCCTGACTGATGACACGATGAGAATTGTATCTCATACTTGGCGTGTACCCAATACTGGCTTTAGTCAAGAACCCACACGTAGTAACCTAAACTAGCTAGACAAACTCGTCATTTAGGAATGCTTACTGCCACCATTGCATTATCTTAGTTTACAATCGTAACTATCCTTTTCACTATTGAAGTACCATTTATCGACATCCTCTCCAGGAAGAGGCTAGTCAGACGTCGGTTGTTCTCCAGCTATCGCCGCGCTGATTGCCGTATGGATTTCCCTGCCTCTTATCTAGGATAAATCCCAGACCAATGTGAGGGGCTTCTGTCCGGGGGATTGATGCCGGTAGAAGGATGTCGATCAAACTCCCTGTCGGGGTTGAAGAAGTCGATGTTAATAGTTATTGAGGTAAGTCTCGCTTTAGTAGCAATGAGGATGCTACTCCAACAACAGTTGCGGATCGTTCAAGATGAACACAAGCATGCTCTTCAGTATGAGTCAGCTACATCAATAGCCTTTGGCCAGGGTCTTGCGTTGAGGCAGAAAGAAATTGACTAAAAATAGACTCGGCCTGGCCCACGAGTTTCGATCATCAGCGATGAGGATACTTTTCCGGGCGTGAAAGCCTGACAGCTCTGCAACAAATGCTTCCGGGAGTTTGAGAACTGTTTTCTTCTAGTCTAAATAAGATTAAGTCCCGGAATATATTCTCACTAGGTACCTTTCCCATTTGAATAGGTATGTGGCTAACAACGCCTTGATATTCAGAGCTGTTGGGTGGAGAAGAGATATCGCGTGATCAGTCAGGAGCGCGAGGACCGGAAGGGCGGGATGTGAGGAGTAGGATTGGAAGTTCACTGGCGGCATGTCCGGTTGAGAATATCGTCCCCGAGTACAACTAGCGGCTCTTCTTCTTTGGGGGCATACTTTATCGGTGAGACTTGCTGGTTACAGTCTTCAATAACGCCCACGGACATCTTCCGAGAGAAGCTCCAATCTCCGCAGAGCTCTGGCATGTGCTTTAAGATTCGTAGATTTAGTAAGTACTTAAGTGTAGTCCAGACGATAACGAGCACAACAGCTCATGTACCCATGTGTATAGTGAAGAGTTGTCTCTTAAGTTTCCAGCTCCTATTTCATCCATGAGATAACGCAGAGTCATACATCTAGTGCCTGCGCCTACATCATAACCGTTTCCATAGGTATGCAAGTTGCAAGTAGGAATCAACCCCATAGTGAAGTTCATGTGAACTTACCACGTCCAAGGTTATGATCTGATTTAGTACGAACACTTATCGCACCGACCAACGCCTCAATCCAAGACCTGTCAAAATGCAGCATGTCAATTATACCTAACTACTGAGTCTGTGCGTATGACAATCCCTCGATGGAATCAGATCTAGACACCTTGGCAGCCCATCAACAGCAAGTCAATCTCTCCAGACTTTCAGCTTCCATAGGCCGCGCGCGACGTCGAGTACGGGGAACCCTGCTTAGGAACGTGGCAAGTCTTGACTATCCTCGAGCTAAGCAGGGTTCCCCGCGCTCGACCCCGTGGGTTAGCATGATGCTAGGTCCGCGGGGCCGAGGTCGCATTAACGCGCCAAGACAGAAACGGGGATATACTCCGTGGTCGCAACCCGCTACTCCTGCTGGAATCTGGAGACTCTTGCTGCTCTAAATATATCTGAAAGGCTATACAGAGCAATAAGAAGAGGTAAATGAATTGAGATATACTGTTCTGAGACTCGTTCTAATTGCTGAAGCACCATGCATTGGCGTCAAGTGTACTTGCTCGTCGCTTCCCAATATTAAGCATCATTTTTAAAAAAGACAAAAGTTGCGATTGGCAGATCGAACGACGTGGCTTTCCTGCAAGTGTGGGTTCCATCTCCCGATGCTAGACTAGATTCGTGTTAAAGGTGCCGAAGAGCCGATCGCAAATGACTTGTAAGGGTCATTTGCTATCACAGAACCTCCCTTTTCATCTCTCTCCGTGGCTCCTTATCAATTCCTGTCGTTTAAATCAAGTCTAGACTCTCGATAGCGTATCCTGACCCCTCGTTTTACGACAGGATGCCTCGGCACCTTGATCGGAGGAGTGGTCCTTATAAGGAGGATAAACAGTCGATCAGTGTAACATGATATTATTCAATTAAATAACTACTTTCCCTAATTCAATCAACAATTCAACCTTCCTTGCTACCAGATATTCTGTTGCAGCCTCCCGTTGAAGTCATCGCCATGGGTCCGACGCAATTGGACGCCCACGACGGCAGTGGGCAGAACTCTGAGAACGAGAAGCCTACTCATGTAGAGACTGAGCATGCTGCCGTCACTTATCAGGAGAAGAACGCCTTCCACGCTCACGCGGATGAGTCGGGTGAGGGTCAAAATACAAAGGTATACACATCATGAGTCCAGAAATTCCAGTATACTAACACTCTTATCTTAGATGACAAAAAGACGCTTCATGGCCCTCGTTTCCCAAGCCTTTCTCTGGACAGGCTCCCAGATCCCCGTCTATCTATTCGGAGGTGTCCCGCCGTACATCTATGCTGATATCGGAGGACACGATCGTTGGACCTGGTTCGTTCTAGCCAACCTACTCTCGCTAGCAGCGGTCTGTCCGTTTGTCGGATCTCTATCGGATATGTTCGGTCGTCGATATGTTGCACTATCCGGGGCATCGTTTATCGTCCTTGGAATGATCGTCTGTTCTACTGCTCACAATATGAATGTCTTTATCGGTACGCCTCCCAATCCTTTTTTTACAGCTCAACGCTAACTAGTATTTCAGGCGGCATGGTCTTGGCGGGAGTTGGAGCTGGTATCAACGAACTTACCGCCCTAGCAGCAACATCTGAGATGGCACCGACTGCCCAACGTGGCAAATACGTCTCCATCCTGATCTTCACAATCGTACCCTTCTGCCCCTCTGTTCTCTGGGCACAACTCATCGCCGCGCACTCGACATGGCGATACATCGGCTTGTTCTGCGCTCTCTGGGCCTTTGTCGGTCTTGTCTTGACAGCTCTGTTTTACTTCCCACCGCCTCGCACCAACTCAGAGGGTCTGACACGAGGAGAGATCCTGAAGCGCATTGATTTCGTCGGCGGTTTTCTCAGCATTTCTGGTATGATCTTGTTCATGGCTGGATTGCAGTGGGGTGGATATATGTATACCTGGAAGTCGGCCCATGTCCTTGTTCCTCTGATTCTCGGAGCGGTTCTGGTAGTCCTCTTTGTCATTTGGGAGGGCTTCTTTGCGCCATATCCCATGTTCCCTCGTCGCATTGCCCAAGCACCTCGGATCCTTACCCTGACACTCATCATCACCTTCATCTCTGGTGCCAACTTCTTTTCCATCCTCATGTTTTGGCCCACTCAGGCTTTCAACGTTTATGGTCATGATCCCGTGCAAGTCGGAATCCGAGGTATTCCTGTTGGCTTCAGCATCATGGCTGGTGCATGTATCGTCCTCTGGCTGTTATCTGTGTTCAGAGGTGCAAACAGATCACTCATGGTTATCTCGAGTATCCTGATGACGGCTGGATGTGGTGCCATGTCTGTCGCAAGACCCGACAACATGTCCACTCTATGGGGAATTCTCGTCCTGGCTGGCTTGGGTATCGGAGGAATTGTCGTTCCAGCAAGTATCATCACGACAATCATCTGCCCCGACGATCTCATCGCGACTATCGCAGCGCTTACTCTAAGCATCCGAGTCATTGGCGGTAGCATCGGCTACACCATTTACTACAATGTCCTTGTGTCCAAGTTCACACCTGCTGCTATTCACTACATTGGTGGCGCGATGGTGAAGTATGGCAACATCACGTCAACTGAAGTCATCGGGGAGGTCATCGGGCTGACTAGCATTTCTTTGCTGGATGAGATTGCCGAGGTGCCAGGTATCAAGGGAAATGAGGCGCTGTATAACATTGTGATCCAGGCTGGCCAGATTGCTTATGCTGAGGCATACAAGTGGGTGTATTATGTGAGCATTGCTTTTGGTGCGGTTTCTGTCCTTGCTTCTCTTTTCTTGGGAGATATTGGGAAGTACATGGATGATCACGTCGCTGTGGTGATGTAAAGTATTGCATCTACAGAGACATTCATAATGCACTACAGGCCATGACGACAAGTGTCATACCTAAGATAGTTAATGGAGACTATGACAATAATTCATTTGATTTACATCCGAGCAGAGTATCGAAATTGGTCTACATAAACTGCGCAAAGCTCTTCAAGAATGAGACTATTGATCGTGGCTGCTCACATGTGATTTCAGCTCTGACATCTGGCGCCGTGCATTTCCAAATACAGCATGTTGCTTATAGCTGAAGTAATCCTCGCCACACCATCCTCATGCTTACCTTCCTTCTTTAGCTTCTTACATAACCTTTTCAGAGCATCAGCATGACAGTCAGGTAGTTTAGAGGTAAGCCAGGACAGGGATGTTCGGCTATGCTGCTGTGGCTTGAAAGTCATACGAGAACGGGCCAGCTGAGGATGCGCGATTTGCAGATTATGCAGGTTTGTTTCATAGATGCCCGGCTTCATCCGAAATATTCGTTTAAATGTTATATAGCTCAACAAATGTGGCTAGATGGAGGGGAGTGCGCATGAGCTATGACTGAGTCGAATTTGAGAGAAAATACTGGTGAGTCCAATTTGTCTGATGTTTCAGACGGCAATCAAGAGATTTCGCAGGCTCAAAATGGTAGCATA